CACCCAGAGTAGGAGATTCTATCTATCCTTTTCCTCGAAAACCTTAACGCTCACCAGGAGCGGCTTAGGATGGGGAAAATCATCCGTCACTGACCAAGACATCATAGACGCAAATGATGCAGAGTTCTTCTGCTGCAGGTGCTCTAGCAGAGCCCTTTCGTAATTTGAAAACCCTCTAGACGCGCACCGATTGCCTTGGGGTCTTGCGCTAAAAGGTGTTGCACGCCCTCAGGGCCAAGCAAGGACATCAGGTTTTTAAGCCCGTCCTGCGTGTTCTGGGGCAAAGAAGAAAATTCTTAATCCTCACAGAGGATCCGTCTAAACGACTCAGGCGAGGATTGACTACTAGTGCTACCAAGTTCAGCGGGGCTGCCGTAGCTTTGTGCTTAGAGGAAGCGTAAGTTAGGTCACCGACCTTCGTTCTATACTTAAAACAAATACGAGTTTAGCGGATCGCATTCCGATTACACCAAAAGTAGTTAGAACCTTAACCCAAGGCTAATTAACTCTTCGGTTTAACTTCAAAACTGACTTTTTTATTTTAATCTGCGGCAAAGCCGCCTTATTTTAAATGCTTTGATTTTTCTAAATACGTATAGTAAAATCTAAAAACATGTATAGCTACAGCCCCGTAACGTATTCTTGTTTGGGTGTGGTCACACCATGTCCATCTGGTGTGACACACACCTGTTACCAGGGTATGTGTAGCCCCGTTACACTTATGTCCACGCTTGCGCGTGGCCTCCGTATTTGGAAAATGCGGACGCGATGTGTGATGGCTTTGTAGTAAGTTTACGGTCGTTTAACCTCTGGTACCTGTTTGCTGACAACCACCAAAAAAAGGATTCCCAAGCGCCATCGTCACGTTGCCAGAAACAAAGTGCCTTTAGAACAGAAATAACTCATTCGCGGTCCATAGAATGCAGTCTATTTACAACTCCGTTTTGCAAATGATTACAAATGACGCAACTGCAACAGGTGCAACTTGCACAGAGTTGAATTTGACTCACAGTCCGCGCTCAAATGACTCTGGAGGCTCTTTTTAGAGCAAAACGGAGAGAATATAATGTTATTGATTTTCCAGTTAGCTCTGCGATTTAAAGAATGCTCAATATTTATAATTCATTATATTTAAATTAATATCAAATTAGTAACCTATCTTTTCTCTTGCCGTAGGTGTATTACGGACCTTTCTTCACTATTCGGTATCTTCAATAGTACACAGAAATAAAGGGCGAGTTCGTACAGATATACGAATTGGTATTCTGAGCAGAAGTTTACGCGTACAACAGTTAAGTACTTACTCTATTGCAAAAGTTCTTCGCACAGATCAATTTCAAGCTGAATCTAGCCAAAAGCAAAGACTGCTGTAGTGCAGATCTAAGGATGCTCTAAATTGGTATCCAAGACTGTATAGTTATATATAACAAATACACGCGCTACTTTAATTTACAAAATCTCGCAAGTTTCCACAAAAATACGATGCGTCTGATGATATAGAAATTCAACTTCCATATATCGGGCACTGTAGCGATGGTATTGCTTGAAAAAGACACGCTAACCAAGCAGCCATAAATACAACGTGTTGAGTACACTGAGTGCAAGCAGTAAACTTATAACTTAGTGACGACAGGGCTGGCTTTTTCGAGCCTTTCAAGCCTAATGAACAATCCTTCAGCAATCGCGAAACTATGCGAATCTTAAAGCATATCGCGCATATGACCACAACAGTATGAAGCGGACGATATTTACTTCGAGCGGCTACAATTCTTAATTGCGAATCATGTGAGCTTTAAACGCCGCAATTGTGGTTTATATCTCTATTCACAGTTATACACTTTTGAGAATCTGGACGATTTATCTTATAAGTGACTTGAGTTGTATCAGGTTTACGAACTTAAAAACTGTCTAAGTCACAATAAAACTGGAATTTGCTTAAAAAATCAAGTTGATATAAATTGGTCTAGTAAGAATTAACTTTTATTTCAATAACATAATGACGATATTTTATGCAACTCGAAAATGTGCAGTTACAGTGACATGTTCTTGAAGCGAGGGAGTCGGTATTTTGATCGACGAGTCACTAGCCGTGCCCATAATGAGCAAGTTGCGTTTCTCTGTAGTGGCGTGTACGAGCGAGGATGTAAATTTCCGAGCTACTGAGCTAAATGCTAATGCAGTCAATAGTAAAGGTTACATGACAGCTAAGTAGGTTTATGCTTCCATTTTAATCTTTTTGTTGCTTGAAAGTTATATGTAATCTCTCTCTGTACAGGAACTGTCCGTATCCTCAAGAATTGGTGCTACAACTTCAAGACGGATTATGTCGTCTAACTCAAGTGCAATTGCTCTCACATCAGAGTTGTATTACTACGAAAATTGAGCTCTTTGTCTCTCAAACTCTTTTATATGAAGGAGATACCACCAAGTTTAGTCGACTTGGATTTCTCACACTTAAGGCCAATACTGAGAGTAAATA